GATGATTTTCTAGCTTCTACTAGCAATTTTTCCCTGATTGGATCCACTGTTGAAATGTCAGGCATTCATCTAGGCATTTCTGAAGCATCATGCATTGGATCACTGGCACATACTGGTACTAACCAGGGCTACAGTGACCTTAGTCATTCAAGAAAGGAGGGGAGAGGAAGAGAGAAATCGAAGAAAGCATTTAATTTTCTTTCTGATTCAGTTATCTGATAGTTCCACAAATTCAATGGGATATTTGCATTTTTGAAGTTAGACATGTGCTTGGCTCTGCTGCTGAGCAGGGAACGAGACATAAATCTGTGATGAGGACTAGGCAGTGTTTATCTCCACTTCTGTGGCAGTAAACTGGTTTATATTTACAATAAACTGGTTTATATTTACTTCTTGCACTCCATCCAGGGTTTAGTCCTAATGATGATTACTGTTCCTTTATGCAGTTATGATTTGATACTCATTTTTTGTCAAAGGGTTTCCGGGCAAAATTGCAGGTCATGCCCAGCACACAGAGAGTGGTAAGACACACAGACACTAAATCTAAAACTAACTTTTGCATTAAAAGAATAATGCTCAAGTGTGGTGGGGAGAACACATCTGCAATCTCTGAAAGTCAAGTTATTCTCATCCTCCACCAAAGTTTTAACTTCAATTGTTTGATGATTCCACAACTACATAAAAGTCAGGTTTAGCATTGTCTGGGAAAATGAACTGTGTCTTTCCACACCCTAACACTTCATGCTTCCTCTTGAATTTACCATGGCTTTGAACATTCCGTTTGCAAATACCCTTTTTTTAAAACATAAAGATTTTTCAAGCAGTGTTCTCCATATATAAACTACTGACATGAACTGTTCACACATCATCTGTTTTTTCGAGACTTAGCTTGGTTATAAAATACTCAGAAAAAATATTGATTGTTGAAGTGCAGATTGTTTTTCACATTTCCTTTGGCCTGATCATGTAACCACAGACAGACACAAATAGTCCAACAGATTTTTTTTTTTTTTTAAACTCAAGAAAAGCCAATTGTATATGTTGGAAATGAGACTATTAACTGTGAGTTGTGACATCCACATGGGGAAGGGGAGAAGACAGACATGCCTTACCCTTGTTTTACATGAGGAAGGACAGAGAAGCAGCAGGAAACATCACCCTGGGCAGAGTCAGTAGGACAGGTCACATCATTAGACTTTGTACATCACTCCAAAGGTGCAGATAAAAGGTTAGGTGGATATGAGGGGGTGGTGAAAAAAGCTGCACTTGATGTTTGTTAATTTACCTGTCTGTGGGCTAAATGATTGAGCAGTAGGCCCAGGCTAACAGTATTTTCAAACAAACAAAAATAGTTTTTAAAAAACTGGAAGGGGATTTATAAAGAGTTGCAAGGATAAAGAAAGACCTGGAAAACAGAGTTAAAAATCCTTAAATGCAGTCGTTAAATCTGATAGCTAAAACTAATGATTAGAAGCTCAGGCTTAATGAATTCAGACAAGTATGAAGGCAAAAATTTGAGAGTTAGGCTAAGAGGCCATCTAAAAACCATATCTAACTGGTGGACTTCTCTCCCAAATTCCCAGACAGGATCTTTCCAGATCAGCTGCCGCTTCAACAGAAGTTACTGTCTTGAAGCATAAATTTCTGAATTAAATCCTTCAGTTTGTCATGCAGGAGGTCAAACGTGATGATTCTGCTTGATCTGTACAGTTACTTCTGAAGCCACTTCCTGTTGAAGACCTTTTAAAACACACACATATTGCCCAGTGATTCCCCAAAGCCACTCTTTTTAATACATAGCCATACATTTTCTTGTTTCTAGATTTATACAGAAAAGAGAAGAAAAAGAAAAAGAAGGAGGGGGGAAATGCCTTTTAATTTCCATTATTTAAGCCCTCTTAAGAAAAGGAGACTGAAATGTACCGTGCTCCATGCTGCACACACATGCCCTTTAGAGGGTTTCTCACAGGTGGGCAGCTTTTGAAATTCAGAAGGGAGAGGGAAGACTATATTAAAGACTATTAATATTTTCACTAGGGAAAAGCAGTTTGTCTGCTATTTACAGAGCAGTGTACAGAAAAAAATGTAGGTCAAAATGCAAGTGCTCCTTTAAGCTTCTCAAGCTACTGAGTTTATCTATTTCTTTTCTATTTCATTACATCAAAGCACCAATATTAATAAATAAATACCACAGTATTAAATGACTGTCAAAACTAATATGGACATCAGTGTCACACCTGTGTGACTTGGTGAGAAACTACAATAATTAGGAAATACATGAGGCAAAGATCCAAGGTCTGATGTGTCCCTTCACCAACTCTACCTTGGTGGTGGGGACTTCCAGATGAACAAAGCACTGTAAGATTCTCACTGAACTTGATAACTTATAGGTGCTCAGTTCCTCTTAAAACACCACCAAAAAAAATGCACCATAACCCAATCCGACGTTTGAAAATTGGAGCATGTCTTGATTAAGGACATAGAAGAATGGTAAGAGAGTAAAGAACAGCACTCGAATATGCTGAGTCTTGCTTTTTAGCATTAAATACAAGACAGTCTTTCTTCTTCATATTATGCTGTTAATTGCTAAACAAATTTTTTTGAAAAGCGGGTTCCAATTGATGTGTCCTTGGAGAAAGACTTGTGCTCACCCTGCAGAAAGCTTTAATTCCTCAGTGTATTTTAATATAAGGATTTAGTGCTGAGCTTCCCAACTCAGACTTAATGCAATTCAAAAGATTTTTTTGACAGGTAAAAATGAGTAGAGTCACCCAATTAATTGTCTTTGAAGGAAAAAAAAAATCAAAGCTGCATAAATGTACATCTTCCCTCAGTTTCTAAAACTCGGGTTTTGGAAATAAAAATGTTCCCCATTTTATTCAAAAAGCAGGTTAATGACACTTCTTGTCTTTGTGTGAATCTGTAGAGGGCTGCATGAAATGTAGACACTTTTTATTAACTCCTTCCTCTTGATGCAATTATTTTGAAATAAACATATTGCATAAAGTCAGAGCAGACCTTCACACTAGGTCCTGGTGTCATTAATACTCTCTTCTCAATGCAATTTATTACACTGTAAGTGGATGGCACAACCTCTGACCTGTGTGAGGATGCAGAACCTTATTAATGCCTCTTGCTGAAGGAACTTGAAACCCTTGGCAAAGCTGAGTCACCGGGCAGATGCGTCTCACTTCTAACAGGACCTGAATGAAGGGCAGAAGCCTTGTCACGGGGACAGGGTGATCCTGTAGGACAACCTGGGAATAACTAAGCTTCTAGCAAAAAGCTTTGGGCTGCTGCTGATTGAATGACTCATTGAGCTAAGCCCAGCGAAGCTGGTAAATTTTACCCAACAGAGCTTATGCAGATTTTGGCTTCAATCCAGCAGAGCACTTAAGCACATGCTTAATTATACGCAAGTGACACGGAGCAATTGAGATACGCACGTGTTTAAGTCCGTGGCTGGCGAAAGGCTTTGTTTAGAGAAACGTGGAAAAGTTGGTAACCCCTAAAAGCAATGAAGTTGAGAGGTGCAAGCAACACCACGGCACAGCCCAGGCTGCAGATGTGCAGCCGGTTTGGGTGGAGAGGTGCTCCAAGGAACGCAAGGTCTTTAGGAAGATTTGGCTTCTAGCAATTCTCCAGAAAGTTTATGGTGTGGGGTCATGGAGGACATCACGATCAAGGAGATTGCAGTGCAGAAAACTCATCTCAGGGCTTTCTGATGGACTTGGAGGCTCTGGGAGCCCCATGAACCTCCATAAGGGCACCGGTGGTCTGGGGCCTCCTCCAGCGGGAGGGATGTAGGATGTGCCGGCAGTGGGGAACTGGATCGGGCTGTATTTCTTTACGTTGAGGGTAGCAGAGCCCTGAACAGGCTGCCCAGAGAGGGCCTGGAGTCTCCCCCTCTGGAGACATTCCAAACTCACCTGGAGGCGTTCCTGTGTCACCTGCTCCAGGTGACCCTGCCTTGGCGGGGGGGTTGGACTGGATGATCTCCAGAGGTCCCTTCCAACCCTGTGACACTTCAGCCTCCTCCCTGGCACCGACCGCGGCCGCTCCGGCCCCCTCTCCCCCGGGAGCCCCTGCCGGGAGTGAGGGCGCTGGAACGACCCCGGAGGGAGCGGGGGGCAGCCCCGGCCCGAGGCCGAAGGGGCTCTCCCGCCCCGCCTCCGCCCGGGGCCGGCGCGGCCGTGGGAGCGCTGCCCGCGCCGGCCTCCTGACCCGCGCGTAACCCGGCACCGCCCGCCCCGCCAGCGGCCGCAGCCCCGGCGGGGATCCCGCTCCCGTCCTCGCTCCCTCGCTCCTCATCCTCCCCATCCTCCTCCTCCTGCTGCCGTCCCGCCGGTCCTCCGGGCGCGTTTCCCGTGGTGCAGCGCGCGCGCGGCGCTCTGGCCGGGTGTCGCTGTCACCGCCCGCGGACGCTCCGCGGAGCAGCAGGAAGAAGAAGAAGAAGAAGAAGAAGAAGAAGGAGCCGCCGCCGCCGCCGCTTCCCCCAGGCTCACCCCGCCGCCGCCGCCCCGCCGGCCCCCCCCGCCCGCGCCCCGCCAACCCCGCCATGCCCGGGGCCGCGGCACGGCCGCTCTGAGCCGCCGCCGCCGCCGCGCCCCGGCCCGGCCCGGCCCGGCCGCCTTCTCCTCGCAGCTCTGCGGCCGGTAAGTGCCGGCGGGGGCGAGCCGGGGCCGTTCGGGGCCGTTCGGTGCGCGGAGGGAGGGAGGGAGGAGGAGGAGAGGAACTGGAAAGGAAGGAAGGGGGGGCCGCGGCGCGGCGCGTCCCGCATGGGCCGCGCTTGGCCCCGGCGCGGGGAGGCCGGCGCGGAGCGGGGGATGAGGAGGCGGCGGGCGCCCTCCGCCCGCTGCTCCCGCCGCTCCCGCTGCTCCCGCCGCTCCCACTCCGCCCGCTCTCCCGGCCGGAGCCGCGGGGCCGCGCAGGCCGCGCCGGGGCGGCGGGGATGGGGCCGGCGGGGCCGCCTGACAGACGGACGGACGGACGGACAAAGAGCCGACGGACGGACGGGCTGGCAGCGCGTCCCCCCCAGCCCCGTGCTCCCGGGCCGTATCCTCCGGCTGCCCGCCTCCCCATTGTTCCCGGTGTAAGATAGCTGAAGCGTGCCGACCTGCGAGCAGTCACTCCGTTCGATTTTATTTTTGAATAACCTTCTCAGAGTCTCCTCTCGGCTGCTCGGAGGAAGCTTTTGCAAGGCACCCTCTTCTCCCCAGCGTTGGGAGCTGCTAACAAGTGCCATTCTGGAAGTGGCTTGGCAGAGGAAGGGGGACCAGTAGGAGTTAAGGAGAAATTAGTTGGGCTTCAAACACTTTCACTCTTCATGGTCTTTCCTTCCCCAATTCCTGCCAAACCTCAGCTGGGGTGAGTTGCAGCAACATCTGCATTAAGCTGGTTCATGAAAAGGAAAGACGTTTATGTTGCCAACATAACTCATCTCTCTGATCACTTTGTTTTTGTGAACTGTTCAGAGCAGCAGCTGTGAGGGATTTTGCACAATGATTAAAAAAAAAAAAAGGTAGATATGTGGAATCCAGTAATCACAACTTTAGTCTTGCTTTAAAGGTCTACTTGGAGCATGACCTCCCTCTCTGTCTGCATACACGTGATGTTCTGGTCCAAGAAGTGTTAGATGGGAGAGATGTCCTACTCTTGATGAACAGCATCTTTGCTGTTGGTACAGGACGAATGACAGAGGACTGTGGTTTTTCTTTTGAATAGGATCTCAGTTGCTTTGTTTATTTGCTGCACTTGCTCACAAATTTCAGTAGTACTTTTACAGGCTTGCTGGGAATATATGCCTGGGCCTGTCATGCTTCAACATTTTGGAGTGCCCATGTCAGATTTCGTTGTTGCAAGTGGTAGAAATTTGTAGCCATTCTCCATGTGTTTGGTGAATATGCCTGGTGAAGGGAGGAGGTAGAAAACTAGTGCTACCCTGTATCAATTCTTGCAAGTGTTCTTATGGTTTGCTCAGAAGCAGTCTAGATAAACCAGTGGTCCGATCTAGACTTAAGTTTGCATACCTTCGGGCAGTGTTAGTTTTACAGTGTCCCACTTCCAGTGTCTGGGATCCGTGCCTGTGTCCAGTGACAGCTGTCATCTGCAGGAGTGTTGGCTGCGCCGGAAGCTCCAGAGCTCGTGAGGCCTCAGTTTTCCTGTGGATCCTGTGGGATCTGCAGGCTCCTGGTACAGGGTACACACACATTCACAGGAGAGGCCAGCAAACCCTGCTCTTCTTGAGGTTGTTTAGGAAAACAAAATTAAGTTTTCAGTTGTGCAGTTTCCTGAAAACTGTTGTCATGGCCTTTCGTGGTGAATATGCAGCTGAACGTGTGTGTGTGTTCAGTTTCCAAAAGCGTTTGCTTTGTAGTTGTTTCTGGATGTCTGCATGCAGCTCTTCCCCAAATATACATGTAGTTAGTGAGCTCACATAACTGAATAAAGCTAAAAGAGATGAGTGACCTCTTGCATTTAGGCTGTTGTGTGCACGTGTACTTCTTCTGTCTTTGCTCCTGAGGCTGAGACCTGAGAGAACAGATGTGTATGTAATCTGTGCTTTTGTTATTGTCCTTCTTGTCCATATGTGTTTCATGTCTACTCTGTTGCAAACATATTCTGTTTATGGAAGATCCCTAATATAATGGATTATGAAATCAAACTATTAGTAAGTAGGTAGCTATTTGAAAACCACAATGATTTAAAAAAATGGAAGAAAAATTACTCAGAATGTGAAAAGTTATATCTCAGGCTAAATGGTGCACCTGAAGGAACACATGCTTGGGGAATATTACTATGTAGCTTCTCAAAATAAGTTTTCCCTCTCGGTTTGTGTGTACAAGTTTATTTATATGAGGATTTAAAGTGCTGTGGAGCACGTGTGTGTTCTGGAGACAGCTGGTGGTGTAAAACCATCGAGGTTGGAAGTTCTTACTTCCAGCTGAGAATTTCTGTGTACTGGTAGTGTTAGAGTTGAACTATGAGAATGCTAAGAATATATTACTCTAGTGAATTATGGTGATGGTACATCTTAAAGAGTTTAGCTCACTGCTAGGTAAGTTCTTTGCACCACGGGTTCAGTAATGTAAATTTGCAAATAGTGGAGTTCAGGGTGTCAGTTGTTAGTGTAGGGGTTTAGGTTAAACATTTTAAAATGTACCATTGACGAAGAAGCATTTGTTGTATTCTGGTATTTTGTGGAAAAGCAGGGTGGGTTTGTTTTTTGTATCTGCTGCTGGAGATTTGTGATTTTTTTTTTTTGTGCCTGGGATATTTGTAGAGTCTTCCTCTGCTGAGGAAGACTGTGTGGGCTCTTACAAATGGAGACCTGTCTGTACAGAGCAGCTTGATGGAGTGGGCCTTAATCTATCAAAACCACTTTAAGTGGTTTAACATAATTTGGGATTAAGTTTGATTTAATTTTGGCTCTAATATAAAATACATTTTTCTATGTGAAGTAACTGAAGTTAAATAAGAAATAGTAACATTGCGATAATGTCTGTGATAAACAGAGATACTGCTGTTACCCTAAACATAAAACTGAAGCATCCAGCTTTCTTGTCCAACCTTAACAATGTCTTGTATATTAAGTGAATGGGACAAGGACTGAGAAAAGTAAACACTAATGGAAATATTTTTTTGCTTTGAAGACTCTTAAATGAATCTAACAGAGAAATAGATAGGTTTTATTTAAAATAAGTACTTTGTCTGCCTCTGCCTGGCATTCTAATGATAGCTGCCTTTCAAATGATGAAATAGATTCAAGCCTTCAGCTTGCAGTCTGATCTGCATAACTGAGTGTTTAAAGACAAATGTGGTCCCACAAAAGCTCCATGGATGTAAGCAGACATGGGTATCTGCTTCTGTCAGGTTGCAGGGCTTATGTGAGGGATCAGTACTGTGATTAAGTTCCACTTTAATTTGTTTAGGTTTTTTTGACAGAAACACTTTTGGGGAAAGTGTATTTCTTGGACTGCTGAGATTCATGAATTTTTTTTTCTTTTCTTTTTTCACTTCTGTAAATTGGAATCTATGCAGAACCCCCTGCACAGTGTTGAGTTTATACATTTAACTTATTGTTTTTTAACAGCTGAGACATAGCTATTGACAGGCCATGTCAGCAAAATACAGCCACTGGCTATAATATATAGCTATAAGGCAAGCACAAACTTCTGTCTAACAAAGGAAAATCCATTCAGATTTTCATGAGATTTATTTTCATTTACACAAATGCTGTTAGTTACTTTATTTCAGTACTTTCCAGTGAAGTTAAGACACAACTCCCATCTGTTTAGCTCATTAGTTAGTACTCTGTATACATTTTAAATATACATTTTTTATCATCCACATAGAACAGAATATTTTATACATCAGCAATAGTGCCATAAACTACAGAAGTGGTAAAATTTTAAACTATTTAATTTACAAATTATTGTACAAATTAAAATACAATAACATATGTGAGTATTCCAATATTATATATGATTAAGTTATCTTCCCCTGACTCCATATAGAGATATTTTTCATATATCATTCAGCATGTTGGATAAAATATCTGGAAAAATCTGTAATATGTTCTCACAAAACTTGATTATAAGTGTGTCCTAAGGGGAAATTGGCTGTCTTTTAGAAAGACTGTGGAATCTACAACATGCAGAAGGGTTAGAATCTCCTGATAACTTCTTCCACACTGTCAGAATGTTATTTTGGGAGATAATATAGAGACTAGTACTGCTTTTGCTCAGAAATAATTTTTAATGTACTCTTAGGATATTATCAGTGTGTTAATGTATTCCAGGCTATGATATCAAGAGGCAACAGTGAGAATACTGTAATGTTAGTTAATATATTACTAATTTATATTACTTCATGATTTCACTGCACTTTTGAAAACAGCAAGACACAGCTCAGTAACAGCATGTGTATATGGCCTGATCGTGCAATTGATATACTCTACTGGCATATTAGTATCACAGTATCTGCATCTTGTCATGGTATGTGCAGAAAACCTTAAGACAGTGCTGTCTAATTCTTCCCTTATGACTAGGATGACATTTTTATAAGCGCAGAATTAAACAGTCTGATGATAAAATGAAATCTGTGTGGGAAGAAGTTCTAACCTGCAAACAGCAGTAGGGTATAATTTATGAACAGCCTATCAAATATAAACTGTCTAGATCTCTTGCACTGGGAAAAAAAAAAAAAACAACAAAAAAACCGACATAAAAACCAAAACCAAAAATCCAGGTGCCTGTAAAATGTCCGTACAATTTCTTGATGTAACATGTGATATTACTCATGCCTAAAGCTGTTATGATATCTGTGTGAGCTCAGCTATGAGACTGATAAACCTTCTGCTCTAAAATTGTTTCAAATGGCAGCTACATCTATAAGGTTAAAAGATGCCCATTCATAAAAATTTGTACAAATTTCTTAAATGTTTATGTAGTAATTTTCCCATAAAATCTGTATTAATTTTACTACTTATGTACCCCAACACGGATATAGAAGGCATCATTAGAGAGGTTTACAATGCCAGTAACAGCATGACCAGGTCGTGTTACCTTAATGCAAGAGGTGAAGTGAGAAATACTGATGCTGGGCAGGTTTGACATGGTCACATGTTCATTAGCACTGTTTAAGAAAGGGAGAAAAAAACAACTTTTTACACACTGTGAATGTTAACTGCTATGTGATTGTCCTGAAAATTTGTCATGTTTCTTTTTTTTCTGTTGTTAGGGTTTTATATGAAACAAGGAAATGGTGATAATGCTCCTAAAAAGCATGTGTGCACATGTGTGTGTAAGACGCTTGTAGCATCTATTTATGATGATGTCTGGCCTAAAGCTCTAGTCATGGAGGATGAGAAGTGTTCAGCATAAAGTGAGGTTTATTTTGCCAAACAATAAGCAGCATATGATGTGGGTTAGTGCCTGGGATGTCACTGGGGAGGGGCAAAGCCAGTGAGCAGCTTCTAAATTCACCATCTTTCTCAGGCTTCCTTGGGTAGTGAAAACTATTTAGCCTTGCTTTCAACAAGTGATTCCGTAGTATTGCATTGCAGACATTCTTCAGTTTTTAAAAGGGAGGACAGAGGGAGAAAAATGAGTATTTAAGCCAAGAAATGAGTACATTTCATGGGATCCATGGATGATTTTTTAGTCTGTAAGCATTATAACAGTCAGAATTTCCAGATGCTGTGGATGATTTTAGAGTTTCTCAAGCAAGAGTGTTCTGAATCAAATTACTGTCTCTGTTGCTGACCTCCTAAGGCATGATTCTCCTCAGGTTAGGACCACTTAAACAGTAGTTTTTAACATAGGTCACTGTTATATGTCAGTCTCTGTCAAGTGAAATATATGTGA